AGAAACCAATAAACTTGACCACACCTAAACAGTGTAATTTACTCTTTAGGAGTACGCAGGTGTGCTCCTAAAAGACTAAATTTTCATGACTTGTTTCCTACATAAGTTTATAATAACTATGATCATCTCTACTTACACTTCGATTATACTTTTATTTACCTTTTTAACATTCGACGTAATCGCTTAATGGATATTCTCATTTTAAATATAGTCTCACGCATCTTGTTGAAGCACTACTAAAACACAAATTCTTCGGCATCATTGCTGAAGCAGTGCTCTGAGATACCCACTGTTTGCTAGAACGTCAATTCATCTTAAGCAAATTTATATGGCTTCAGAATTTTAAAATTAGGCGTTTTACTATAAAAATTTCTCAAGATAGACTTGCTAAATTCGAAACCTTTCAGAAGAGACCATTCTTAATAACTAGTTTACATTTAAGTCAATTCCCAACTAAATGGGTTATTTTTGTGAACTTTTATAGGTTTATTGATGGAAATTATCCAAACATTTCCAATTTTCTTCTTACTGTATGATTATTTATAGTTTTTTACATCTAATCGTATAATGAAATGGACCCCTCTGACGACTTTACTGATAAATTAAACTAGTTTCATTTTATCGATAGTTTGTAAAAAAATTTTATGAAAAACTTAGCATCATCGCGTTAAAACTACATTTTTAAAGTATTCAAATGAGAACGATAAGAAAATAGTTCATAAGAAATCATGTTTATTTAATCTAATTCATATTTAATTTAAATTATGGATTGTAAGTGGAACGCGTGATTAAAAATACAGATATGGTTTCGGGTGTTAGGGCCGTAATTACAACCTATGTCTAAGATATAGATAAGGACTAGTGATTTTACATTCTATACTATAGGGTATGATTCGGTAAACAGCTTAGGGCTTAGCGCCTAGTTTACAGCTTCACATGTACTATTATTTAGTGGAGGGAAAGGATCTCGCGCCTAGTTTAGAACCTCACACTTTACATGTATCGTTAAAGGGTCTTTTATATGTTATAGCTTAAGGACAAACAAATCTAAGTACAGCCCTGACGACTTAAATATCATTACATACATTACAATTTGACCATATTTATGTGATAGTATGTACTCCAAGAATGTAATGTCAGTTTGACATTGAGCAGCCATTCAATAGAATGGTTCGATTTATGACGTCTCGCTTAACAATAGTTACGTCCTATTGTTTATTAATTTGTAAAATAGAACATTTTGGTAAATAATTTTCAAAATTTCATAATTAATAGTGCAAATATGATTTTACAATCTCACAAATTAACACCTTAATAACAAAAAATAGCTTAATGGCGGTTTATTGTACTATAGTACATCATGCAGTGTTATATCATCAGGTGTGATTGGATTAAGAAATAAGAAAAATAACGTAATAATTTTGCAAATATTACAGCAATGTAATAATATATCAATACTAAATAATAATAAACGCATAGAAACAGGTACATAACAACGAAATATATTAAGACACGAAATGTCGGATACTCCCTCTTTTCACATAGAAAAATTAATTAAATTTTTAAATAACTTTTTTATCTTTTTAAATAATATTTATTAATTAATATAATTTGGATAAATTATTTTAAAATGTTTTCTGTTTGATTTTACACTTTCTAGAAACGCGATTGGCTACTACATTTGAATTCAAATAACATTTTTTTATTTTTTGAATGATCTCGGCCAATCAGATTCGATTATGACCGAACCGTTTGTAATTCTGGGAAGCCACCTATATATTTTTTTCTTTTTTTTTGCGTGTGTTATCGGCTTGCTTATTTATGTTCGCGTGACGCTATAAAACGTTTCTAAAAACACAAATTTTTAAATTTAAAATTATAAATATTATTTATAATCAATCGTTTACCTATTACCACAATAATCCAGTTTTATTCTGAAAATTAAGAAAGGGGAAATTATCGTCTGGTTTGGAAAATCCAAAAGTGTTGCCGGTTTTAAATTAAAAAAAATTTATTTTTTTAAAATATTTAATAATTAATAAAAGTTGTAATTAAATATTTTAAACGGTTTTAATATAACAAACGCGATATTAAAAGTATGGAAAAAAAAGTAAAATATAACTTCAGATAATTCATTATATTATATTATTCTAATTAAAAACTAATAGACGCCATTTTGTGTCATATAATTATAACGATTTTTTTTAATTATGAAAAAATAATAATTTTAACTTTTAAATGGTATAAATAATAATTGAATTAATTAAATTTATTTTTCATTTTTAAAAAATAAAAATAAATTCTATTTATTTACTTTAGTTATCGTGCTTACAAATCGATAGAATGGAAAATATCTGTATTTCTAGTTTTATAATAATAAACGACGTAAATGGTTGAGTTTCACAGAACCACTCAACTAGAAATTATCTTTATCATTCTTAAAATCGTATTCTTGGAATGAAACAATATCATTTTAGTTTTGCAACTTTGTAATTATTTTTCGGAATTTTTATTTTCGATTTTTTTAAAGAAGATAAACACAATTTTATAAAAATTTTTTTCCTATTTTTATGTTATTAAATACTCCATTAGATATTTTAAAATATTCATCGTTTTTTTACGTAACGCTAATGTAATTTTGTCTGTTTTTTTATTTTTTTAAATCGAAATTTCCCAATCATTTTCTATATAAATTAAGAAAATGGCGCTTGTTTTAGGTAGTTTTATCTTAAAAAAAATTATTCGAAATTGCTAATTGTGCCTATATTTTAATATACAATTCAATTAAGTCGGATCTAAAACACGTTTCGTATCATTTAATCGAGTTCTGTCGCTTAATTAGATGAAAGCGAATTAAATTATAAATTACAGTAGAAAATTATAGGTTATAATATAAAGAAATTGATAAAATAAATATATAAGTAGAAATTAAAAAAGGTTTTTAAATTATTTAAGTGACAAGGGTGAGTTTCGTTGACGTGAATAGATGCTTCAAGGCAATTTGTAGGCAAGAATAGCCAGAGTATTAATTAGAAAAAAAATCTAAAAGTCAAGAAAAATCTAAGAAAAATAAATTAAAATAATTTATTCGCATGTTAACTCGTTATTTCATGTTAATAAAAACAAAATAATGGTAATTTGTGGAGCGAAACGGAGTAAGAACGTCACATCATATTTCCCTCCCCCCCCAAAAAATCAAATTTAATTCTTAAATTTTGAGCTTTCGAAATTTAATTTACAAAAAAATCGATTTTTGTTTCTTTTTTTCAATTTAAGATTTGAAACGAGGATCAATCGATGAAAGGAATCGAATTGCGTGATCGTTCCTTTCAAATCTTCTTAGACCATTTTGACGCCTGAAGGTGTCATCTGTCTCAAACTCTTTTGACCATTGGTCAGGCGAATTGACTCACGCAACTATGTCACGTTATCATCTAGACGAGTCGCGTGATATCCAAGTTTTTTTTTTTCGTCATTATCCTTCAGGCAACAATCAGTAGACTGGTTTAATAGCTTCTCTAGTAGCATAGAAAAACCGAAAATATTATATATATGTATATATATTTTTTAATAATTTCTATTTTGATTCTTTCATTAAAAATTGAAAAATCACCAAGAGATATTTACAGAATTGTTCAAACAATCGCGGGACATTGAACTATTCTTATCAGTTCGTTGGCCTTGCATCCCTCTTCAAGAGGTCTCTACTTATTTTAAAACTATCCAAAGTCTAATTTTAATCGAACGTAGAAAAAAAAAAAAAAATATATATATATATAAAATAA